TGGAAATAAGTGCTAGGACTAGAAATCAGCTATTCTGGTCCGTGGATGAGGGCCCTCCTTAAGGGCTAGCTCCCAGTCACACCTCGCTACAACTGCCCAGGGCTTGGCAGACCCTGGGATGGCAGTGAGGAAAGGAGCTGACCCTCCGGCAGCTTTGGTCTCCGCCACCCACCTTGAGACTCTTCAGAAATAACTGCCTCTGTTGCCATCTGACCTTAGATCTATTCCTTCCTATCGATCCATGAACGAATCCTTTGGATGTTACTATCCAATCCCCAGGGAACGCAGACAGTGTTTACTAGGTAGGATTCAAGCCACACACCAGTGACCTAGTAGGACCCACTGGTAGTGCCCTTCATCCCTTCGCACAGGCAACATTCCAACATTCCGCCTTAAGAAGTCTGTCCTAGGTCTGTCTCTGCCTGAGGCAACACCATCTCTAGAATGTGCCTCTAGGCTTCTAAGTAAGACTGAAGGAGGCTGCCAAAGATGGGGCGAAACCCCAAACCTTCTTTCCCTGGTTACAAACCCATGGGGGCCTGGTTCACTTAGGCTCTCCGCATACCTCACATTCAACAACATGAAATGCAGTTACAACCTTCCTTTTGTGGATTCACTGGTCTCCTGAAAATCATGTGGTCAGTTCTACACTGTCCATGTATTTCATTTAGCAAATATGTTAAATGCAGGAAACAATCCTTGCTTTTAGCTCAACTGCTTCGGTGTGTCCGTTTTTCCTAATTTTAGTTCGATGAACTAATTTTAGCCCGATGAACATTATCCAGGTCTGTTTCTTCCACGCTACTTCCCAGTCTCTCCCCGCACAGAGACAGACTGCCAATAAGGCTTCTGAAGTGGAGGGTTCTGGAGGTTGAGAGCTTCTGGATTCCAAAGTGAGGATGCAGCCTAGCGTAGTGGCTAGGCTCATGGACTCTGGACGAAGGCTGCCTGGGTTCAGATCGAGGTGGCACTGTTATTAGCTGTGGGACTGAAAGCATGGCTGAGCACATACTATATTCAGAGTGCTATGGTAGGTACTGAGGGCAAAATCAATGTAAGAGACAATCCCTTCCTCAGTGACCACAGACTCTGGTGCGGAAGACAGTCAATAGTTTATCACAAATCAGTATAGGAGAGGGAGTGGGCGTTCCATTTCCCATTAACAAACCACTTTATAGCTATGAGAAGGTACACGGCGGGAAAGCCAATTCAAGGAATATTTATCGTGAGGCCACTGTGTGAAGGAGACTATGCCGGGGAAAACCAGGAGTGACTGGTAGTGTCGCCTTGATTCTCACTGATGAGTTTCAAACTCAGTTAATAAAATAAAACTAATACTATTAAGCATTTACTACGTGCACACTATGTGCCAAACATGGTTCTAAGAAGCACTTTAGATGTTTTAACCAATTTAATGCTCACAAAAAAATTGAGGTGAGTACTCCTATTTTTCCACACTTTATGACAAATAATAATAATAAAGGCACAGGGAGAATAAGAAAACTGCCCTCTTTACAGAACTAGTAGGTACTGAAACTCTAGCAGTGCAGGTTTAGTCAGTGTTTTTAACCAATACGCTGCCTTGTCTGACCAGAAGGCCTTCTTCAGACAGGCCTGATCATTAACAAAATAGCTGTAATCACACCTCAGCTGCCTGCGGCCTCATCATGCCACCACCTGAGGTGCTTTATACCCAAAGCAGCTCTTATCCTCAGCATTGTTCCTCAAAAGCCCAGTTATTCATCACCAAATGAGGCACAAAGTGCAGCAGTCCTACCTAATGAAGAAGACCCTTGGGCTTGTTACGAAAGAGAGGGGATGGAGGGTGGCAGGGGGGCAAAAGAGAAAGAAGGGGTGCAGGAGGAAGAGAAGAACCACTACTGGTAAGTCTTTACACTACTCAAAGTGAGCTCAGAAAAGGAGCCAGAAAAAAAACAAAACTAGAGAAAAAACATAAGATTACCCAGTAAGGAAGCCCATGGATAAGACAGTAGCAGAGCTAGACACAAAATCAAGTTGACCTCATCAAAGGAAACCCATCTGACGAAATTTTATTTCTTCCGAGAAGCCTCCAGCCTCTCATTAGCCCTTGCTAATTTTTAGACCAGCAGGAGCAAGAGATGGGAGGATGAAGGGTCACTTTGGGGCACTTTGAATGTAAAGTGCTGTGAGACATTCCAATAGGCAGGCATATTCCCAGGCAGCGGGATATGCGGGATATAAGAGTCTGGAGCTCCAGGAGGGGGTCTGGCCTGACCCCAAATCTCCAGCTCTTGCCAAGGTACCACACCGCCTCCCTCTGCTGTTGGCATATTCCTTCAGGAGAAACAATAAGCCTTTCTCCAGTTTGGATCACGAATTTCAAAGGTTTTAAAGTAAACTTAACGTAGAGATCTGGGCTGATTTTGACTAGAATGCACCTGAATGTTGCCCCTCCCCACTCCCCACCCCCCTCCCCACTGCCAATGCTGTGAGAATCACAGTCAGCAGAGTGACCAGCCCTATATCTAGAACGCCTCTTCACCCCCAGCCCAAGAACGCATAACCAGTGGGCACTCACTGCTTCCCCTCCCTTCACCTGGGGAGCAGTAAAAACATGCCTTATCCTGCCTGCTCTCTGAGGCATGCCGGGAAGAAAAAGCATCAGGAACTTGGCATGCCATTTGCCCAGCTTTGCTAATTCCTGCTGAGATGCGTACCCCATGGATGACCAAAAGACGGCCAGGTTATGTTATATCAATAGCTGCAAAGACCATTTCTTACAGCTTATCTTTTAAAACATCATTCAGAACTTATATTTCAACATCATTTATTATTTGATTTTTTTTAAACTGAGAATTAAAAAATAATTTCACAATCATAACATACTAAAGAGAGATCCTAAGGAAGGTCTGGTCCTTGAATTTATAATCCGAACAAGATAGGAAAAATAAAATGGAAGTATGTCACCCTCATAACTTTGGTTGTGTTGGGGATTTAGGGTGGTTATGAAGGTGAGCAATAAAAATCTATGTGAACTCTTACGAAACCCAAAACAACAGAGGTTCCTTGCTACTCAACAAGCACACCTGTTTGTACATGGGCTCGTGGCAGACATCGCATTTTGCCAGGCACGCAGGTCACAGCTACTTGTTTGTCCCCTAATATCTAATCAGTTACCAAGTCCTGTGCTTCATAACGTCCTTTTCTCTTTACTCCCATGGTCACCACCCTAGGCTAGATGTTTCAGAGGGCTGGTGAAATTCTAGGAGAGAAAACAAGGAATTACATGCCATAAAATTGGGTGGGGGATAAAAAAAAGTATTTTAAAAGGATGGGTTTGAACTGGATGTAAAAATAAAGCAGCGCCTCACAGACAAGAATGCTGCCTTTCCTTAAAAGACATACTAAATTACATCCTTGCCTCAAGTTACACTGATAAACTAAATTTTGTTAATTAAAATGTTAAATGTACCAACGAATACCAAGCAATGATAGAGACTGAAGTGACACTAAAATGGCAGTTAAGTACATAAAATAGTTTCCACAGTTAACTGAGCAGAAGCCAGCTAAATTAAGGGTTCAGAAGGGTGACTGAAAATCATCAGTAATAAAAATGGGTAGCCTGTATAAAGGTTTATCTTAAACCCTCTGTTGGGCACAATGCAAAACTTACGAGTTTGGGCGCAATGCATCTGCTAGATACGTGTATGACATTTATTTATTTAAATTGAAAATGAATGAAAATAATATGTAAGCATGCTTATTATTCATTCAGAATGAAATTTTAATTTGCCACAAAGTAAAAACAATATATGTTTATTACATAAATTCCGTATAAAAATCAACAGAAATTCAAAACAATCTGTGAGATCAGTTGCACCCAACAGAGGGTTAAAGGAAAATGCGGAGGGACACAGAGATGGCTTGTCACGTCTCACAGAAGAGAAAGCTCATGTGTGAGTGCATGAGTACATTCTCATGTGTACATGTTTGTGCATAAAATATGAGGCAAAGAGAAATTCAAGGTCTACACCACGGGGTCCTAATGAACATCCGGGACCTGTTCCTCTCACTACCGGCCGTGGGATCCTTTGCTCTCCTCCCAGGGGCTGACTTGCTCTCCTCCGCACCTTCCATCACCTCACCTTTGTTCACACTGCAATCCTGCCCAGCTGCCCTCTACGGTGACGCTTTCTGTATCTTAGTGTCCGAGGTCCAGCTCAAGTTCCAAGACCTCTCACATGCACTTCCTGACACGCCAGGCCCAGAGGTCTTCTCCTTCCTCTGTCCTCTCACAGTCACTATCGCTCTCTCATTCAAAAAAAAGAACAAAGAAAAAAAAGGGCCGGCCAAGTGGCTCAGTTGGTTAAGAGCTCACTGAGTGCAAGCTCTGAGCAACAGCAGTTCAATTCCCGACCCAAGCTGAGCTGCCGCTGAGTTGCCAACAGGTGGCAGGATGGCTCAGCTTAAAAAAAACACACACCAAAAAAAAACAACCAACAATAGAGTAAAACAAAAGATCCCTCCTTAAGATTTCAGTGGATCATCTACTTTCTCTCACTACTGGGTGACTTCCTGAGTCTTTGTGAGTATGCGATGTCTGATGTCCGCAGCTAAATGAGAAGTTCTTTAGGGCAGGGGATGTGTCTTCACACACCTTTAAGTCCTTCATAGCACAAGGCCATGCCCAGTGTGTCACCCGATGAACACCCACTGATGTGAATAAGCAGTATCACACAATGTTCCAAGGAAAAATACTATAATTAATTATGAGAATATTCTGATTCTAACATACCAGATTAGAAAGGAAGAATTAACCATAGCTGTCTTTTCACTCAGTACCTCCTATGACGATAGTGAGACCGTAGATTTAACGTCAGGTAAAGGGCGAAAGTAAATGGACAAGGGTGTTTAAGCCAGACATGGATATTGGAGAATAAGATTCTCATGAGGTAAATGTAAAAGAGACCAAAGAAAGTCAACAGTAGTTCAATAGTAATCAGGTATTAAAAACATACCAGTATTTCCTTGAGCATCTTCTACCTTATTTGGGGAGGATAACAGAAAAGATGGCCTGGTGAAGTGAGGGCCCTGAAGAGATGGCAGCGGTGGCGGCGGGGGCGGGGGCTGCTGCTGTTGCTGCTGCTGCTGCTGTTGCTGCTGTTGCTGCTGTTGCTGCTGCTGCAAAGGCGTGGTTTTGAGGATCACCCTCCAGTCCACTTGAGTAATATCTGACCTTGATCGAGCATGCCCTGGCTTAAAAGTAGACGTCTCATCCAATAAGTCATTCACAGAACGAGGCCTGTCCTTGCGACGCTGACAGACATTGAAAAAATTAAAGGTGGACACTTCCTTTTGTTCCATCCAAGAAAGATTACCTGGGGTTGTCCCTTTCTGGACCATAAACTGTTCTTTGGCAGGAAAGACATTTTGAGCTTTGGTTTCTAAGAGCCTGGTCTTATAGTGATCCCAAATCACACCCCCGTTGCCCAGAGAGGCAACATTTCTGATAGCACCATTGTCTGTTAGGTTACTCAGTACCTCGCGCCCCACCAGCTCAGGGACTTCCTGGATCCCATACACCTCTGCTTGCTGCACAGGCTTCTCTAGCTTACTATCAAACGTACTGAAGAAATCCTCAGTGACTTCCAAGGCCGGGCTGATATCATCCACTTCCAAAGCTTCCATGTTGCAGCCTCAGGAGGCCTGAGCCTCCTAATATGGTTCAGGAAAGAGCTTCATGAGCTTTCACCCAACAGAGAGAGGCGCTTTGGGCAACAGGGTTCTGGGAACAGCTGAAAGGAGCCTTCATTGAGCTGCCTGGAGCAGGATGAGCATAGGGCAGCTGATGTTTTCCCAGTCATTAAAAGCACTTGCTAGCTGATAATGGCCCTTAACAAAGGTATTGCGATTATTCTTCAGTGAGATCTCTGTAAAGACAACAGGAAGTGCTTGTCAAAGCAATGCCACAGCAATCCTTAATTTCCTGGAAGAAAATAAACAGGGTACCATTGGCACAGGGTTCATTGTACTGTGTAGTCCACAAATCTGCCCTATTACTTCCCATCTTCACATCTCTTCTACCCCAGTCATGCCCAAAGGTGCACAATGCCTACACAGGAGTTCCACTGTCAAGAGGACACATCATACCCACTTTGTATTAGAATTTACACCGAGCAGGGTGGAACTCTTGATAAGGGGAATGAAGGTCAATAGATTCTACTTACACAGAGAAGCCTTTGAGAGCAGTTGTGAAGAGACTACTGCCCTGGCAAACCTCTGTGATATGTTGGCCTAAAAGAGGAAGCAAGAGACTGGGAATTCTGTGACTGGGCCTGTATCGTAATCCGTCTGACAGTCATAAATGCATGGGTCCCGTCACAAACCTTGAACGCTCGGGTAATGTGTTGGGCTTAAAGCTGCAAGGGGGCAGTAGAGAGGGAGAGTCTGCCCTCTTTACACCCACATGTACCTGCACTTGCGCCTCCTAGGTTTAGGTTATGTAATGACTAATGGTGACTGTGGACTTCAGACTTCCTCCAGTCACTCTGGGAGAAGACATCAGGCTCCTTAAAGCTTTGAGGACTGGCCTAAGAGTACAGGCCCAGCCTCAGGGCTGGGCAGAAGGAATCGCAGCACTAACCCACTGTCTGGAAAACGCTAGGTCTTCAAGGCCAGACCAAATCAGAGCAGACCCTGACAGTGATGCTGTCCAATATGGTAGACAGTAGCCATACATGGCTACTGAAATTGAAGTTTATTAAAATCATATACAGTTTCTCAGTCACACTAACCACAGTTCATGTACTCAACAGCCACATATGCCTTTGTATCTTCACCAAAAAACAAACTAAACAACTAGGCAAGGGCTTTTTTTCCTCACTGACTACTTTCAAGTAGGTTAAACTAGGCAACACCTTTGAAAACTGCTGCAAAGGTACACAATGTGATTTCTTTTTAAAAACTGCATAAACTTTATGATTAATTAAAATCCTTTTTAGCACCTGGGTCTTTATAAACCATTACATTTAAATCAACAGCACCAATCTACATTCTTCAATGTATGTAAATAAACTATTGGGTTGTCGGCAAAGTCATGACACGTTTTTGCAACGAAAAACATGGAAAAAATATGTCATGACTTTTCTGACAACCCAATAGTATATACAGTGCTTTATTTTAAATGTATCAAGGAGGTTTGCAGTTCACTAGAGGTCTGTGGTTAATCTCAGGGAAAGTGATAGTGACTGTGAATGTGTCTACTTTTATATTTTGATATTTATTGTGTTAGCACTCATGAAGACAGGCACAGATTGATTTGTAGAGATAAAATTAGTTGTAATATTTTTCTAGCTGCAGACGGGGTTTTGTTTTCTGTGTCTCCAAGAGGACCTGAGCCTCCTGAATTGTGCGACAAGGTTTCACTAATGTAATTTTGAAACTTGGCAGTTTTTTCAGTTTGATCGTGTACACCAGTGGCTAAGAAAAAGAAATGCATCATAAACCTTAAATCTTTTAGTTCTTTCTTTACTATAATTTCAAGTGAACCTAATAAACAAAATATAAGTTTCCCATTTTATAGAAGAGGCACCAAAGTGCACTGTACTGAGTTATTCATCTAAGATTATATTATGAACATTCCTTCTCTTACCCAGTGCTTAAAATTCAGTATCAAATTCTTTAATCATAGTAGAGAGAAAGTAAATACCTCCAAAATGATTCTTTCTTCCTTTCTTTTTTAATCAAAATACACCTAGGAACTTACTCTTTCTGCTCTCTGCTTGGGTATTCGCAGGCTGGTTAGAAGCACAGAACCACTGAAGGTCAGCACTGCAGGCTTCTGGAATACTTATATCCCATGCGTGCTAAAACCATAGACTGTTAGACAAAGAACGGACCTTTGCGGTCATCCTTGGAGCCCCAACTTTTCACAGGAGGGGACACTGAGACCTAGAGAGAGTAAGAGGTCCCGTGGACACTTTCGTGTGCATTGGCTCATGTAATCCTCATTAAAGGGCAGTAACAATTCAACTTTAGAACCATTTCAATGTTGTTTATCAAAGCATTCTGGAAATCACTCATCTCTCCATCCATCCATCATTTATTAAGGTCACACCAGAATCAAAACACTAAAGATGGAAAGATGAATGAGACACAGCTCTCGCCATAAAGAGGGTCACAGTCTATCGTGATGCGCCTAAGAAAATGAGTCCAAAAAAACTGCCTTGATAGAGGATGGAAATAGTTTCCGGGGGACAGAGGGAGGGGTCAAGGGTCAGTGGAGGTGAGGGAGATACTAACAAAGTCTTGAAAAAGAGGTGCCCTTTGAATTGAGCCTAGAAAACTTAGAAGGTATTTACCTGGATATCTATGAAGAAATTAGGAAGAATAAATGACTTTTTGGTTAGCAAAGGATTTTCAAACTTAGTCTCCATAAGTGAAAACCTCTTACTAGCTTGCCTTGTTTACTTTTGAAATTAATTAATTAAAAAAGAACAACATATTTAGACAGGTCAAAATATGAAGAGTGCATTCCTCTGACAAAGTGAACTGGGTAAAATCAGCATGAGGGTGCAGTGTGGTCTGACTCAGCACAAAGCTGGAAATCAGGAGCCAATCAGAACTGTATTCCAACGATGGCCGCCGCTCATACACTGCTGGGTGGCCTCCCGCAAGCCAGTCAACAAACTCTGGGAGCCTTACTCAGTTATGTAGCCAATGCAATTGCTAATATCAAATTGCAGTCACCTATGGATCAGTCACTAGGTAGCTGTGCCTTTAAAAATGTAAACTGCTGTATAATTATGAAACACACCACTGGACCTCGCCCATTCAACTACCACGTGCTCCCCATCTCTCTCTGGAAAGTTTTGTTGGCCCAACAAAGGCAAAATCAGCAACCAACTATTTATAATACGCTATTTTCAGTCAAACTCAATGACCTATAGATATGTTATCTTATTTTTGTGTAGAACACCGTTTCTGTAAAAAGGGGTTATTTCCCCTATTTTAAAAGATTGAGAAACTGAGATCCATTTGTTAGTGTGGTAATAAAAGCTCAACCCCAAGAATCCCATGTATGCATCAAAAGGTAACAGTGTATTGCTATTTTCTAACAAGGAAATCTGCTGTTTACAACTCATTAGGCAAGGCTAATTAACAGGTTGAATCCGGCTGTCCTCCCACACAGAGATAGAAGCAGATATGAATAATACCAGCCCGGCCCACACAGAGATGCCATGTTCCCCCAAGCTGTTTGGTAAAAGTGCTGACTTCTCCCACTTGACTAAATGGCTTGTAATCAGAACTCAATGATGGATGAGAGGCTGTGTGAGGCCATGTCGTTTTAGGAGCAGCTGGACGATGGTGAAAACGGCAATGCTAAGGACACCTAGGATAAACTGTTTCTGCCAATCCCTTTCCAAACACCAAGAACCAAGGTTGATTACAAGTATGGTCAGCATATGAGGATCTCACGTGTTTTTCACTTTGGTTAAGGCTGCAGTTCACTGAGAATTTTCTAAGATTTACGTGATGTGAAGGATCCACCCCAAGAGGATCAGACACTAAAAGACAACATTTCTGGACCATGAGGCTAAAAGAGGCTATGATTTTTCATGGTGCTTTATCATAAAGATAAAGTAAGCATGTTGATGAAGCACAGGTAAGCCACAGCAGCAGATAAGGAAACGGTGCTAGTGTAGACCTCATAAAAAGAGTTCAGGGATCTTTCAGAGTTGGACAGCTAGAAACACAGGTGGTATCCCATTTTCACAGGCCTGGAGGGAACATTAAATGGCTACACTGTATACAAGTTTCAATAAATGAAAAGTCTATTGCTATGCAATACATAAGGAGTACAATATTAAAGAACAATAATTCATATAGTGTTTTTTCTAGTTCTAAAAATAATAAATACTCATAGAAACTCTGGGAAATACTGACAAATATGAAAAATAAAAATCAGTCATGATCTCATAATTCAAAACAAATAAATCAATAGGTGTGTTTCTGTCCAATATTTAACGGGAATCAGATTATATACAGTTTGGGCACACCATTTAAATGTAAGCTCAAAAAGCAAATACCAGTGAATATTTGCCTTGAAAAAAAAATGTCCCAGAGTGTGGGACACTGTGACACTTATACCTTACAACGTGGCACAATTGAACTTCTCGTCTAATAGCTGTCCCCGGGCCTCCTCATTACACACCCACTAGTGTTCTTCAAAGTCCTGACCCACCCTGATGCTATGGACCTGCCATCCTCAAACATCTCCTCCCTGCGTTTCAGAGGCACCACACTCTCTTGGTTTTCCTCTCCTTTCTACCCTCTTGTTCTCAGTCTCCATCTCCCTCCTTTCCTTACTAGTCATCTCATCAAATGGGGGCATGGCCTGAGCTCTCTTCTCTGACTACAGCTACATGTTATCTTTGGGTCAGTTTATCCACACTTGGGGCTTCAATAATGCCTCTGTTCAAGCCTCCCAAATTTCCACCTTCAGTCTCAATCTCAGGCCTGACCTCTAGTCCTACATGCCCAACTACTTGTCAGAGATTTCTACCTGGCATATCTCAAGGTGAAATTAAGCTCAATTTGTCTAAGATCACACTCAGTTACTCATTCAATAAATATTTTCTGAGCGTTCTTTATGTGCTGGATACAGTTCTAGGCACTGGGGAGACAGTACCAAATAAAATCCTACAATGGCGCTTCCATTGACCACAAGGTCCAACTCTTTAACCTGACATTCTAGGCCTTCTCCAACCTTGGCCTAGCTTTTGCCTGTCCAACGTCCCACTTCTCTTCCATAACACACTCTTTTCCTCCAAACTGGAAGGCTATATTGCTCAAATGTTATGTTTTCCTGACTCCAAGATGCTGCTTAGTTATTTCTGAGTGCCTCTCCCCCCGTCTCCCCACCTCTACCTACTGAAATTCTATCCACTCTTGAAGCTTGAACGCCACTTCTTCCACGTTCTGTCT